ACAACAAAAAAAAAACAAGCCCTCAGACTAACAGAATAGTGGTTACCAGAGGAGCAGAGGAGCAGGAAGGGGTGAAATAGGTAGAGGGAACTGATTGGGTGGTGGCAGATGGTGACTGTACATTTGTTGGTGAGTGTGATATAACAGAAAAAATGCATCATGACTTTTCTGACAACCCAAAATCACCAAGTAAAAAACAGAACATCTAAAATCTATACAGTGTTGTAAACCAGTATGACTTTAATTAAAAAAGTAACTTTCAACGATCTTCCCAGTATACATTAATACATTAAAAACTGAAATGACAATACAAAGTATATCTAAGTATCTTTCCTTCTCTCTGTTCTCACCTTATAGCACTTCTTATCTGTATTCCCAATTGGCTATACACTATGCTCATGTAAAATACTGAAGCAGCTTTGTTAACAGAAGTTAGAGGTCCCATATCAGAATCCTATCTCCTACCCTTTCTACTCTCCGATCCTGGCAAGTTAATTACCTTCAGAATCTCAGTTTCCCTAGATGTAAAATAGAATCAAAATATTTATCAGAGATTTTTTTGTTTATACTAAAATGAAGAACACATGCTAAATGCTAACTATAGAAGAATAGAAGGTACCCAAAAAGTAGCAGAACACACAATATTTTTAAGTCAGAAAATTAAGCAAGTCCCTTGAAAACTAGATGACCTTGGACAAGTTCCTTAATCTGCTTCCTTATCTGCAATAACAGATATAATTCAGATCTTGCATGTTTATACTAAGGATGGCGATTGCATACAACCACACAAAGCCATCACAGAAGGCGCTCAGTAAACTGCAGTTAGCACCACTAGGTGCTACAGCAATACACAAGTGCAATAATAATCTGTTCAGAAAATATTTTCCCATGTAAGAATGTATATAATCCTAAGAATGAATCATCATTTAAAGTATACATTTGATTCCCAAATTTGGTGTAAATTTCAGGAAAAGTATAATACAGGCAAACTATTTTAAATAAGCTGAAAAAAGGCCACTTTGTTAGTTTCAAAGTAAAAAAAAAAGTGAAAAAGTGTTATCTATAACTAGACCTGCTTTAACATTTTTAAGGTCCAAATAAACCTAAGAATTAGAAGGGAAATAGATTTTTTTTCCTACTTTTTGGAAAATTCTAAGTCCTTTTGGAAAAAAATAGAGACCTGAATTTGTTTTAATGACTTCAAATGTCTTTACACAACTAAAATGTGTCTTTAATATAAAACTCTTTCAAATCTCTGAATTCCTGTCTCTACTGCTATGCAGAAGCAGAACAGCACTGTAAGAAAGACCATGGACTGTGGCCTTACTGCCTGAGTTCAAATCCTGGCTCTATCTAGTTTGTTACTGTTAGGAGTGACCAAATGGGGAGATTTACTGAGAGACTGGATATGGGCAGTAATAAATCAGGCTTTGCCTCCAATTAACGGGGTCTTGCATCCCCGATGGGACTAGATAAAGGTGATAACAAACTGGGCCTTACATCAAGGGACATAGCGATGAGTCACCCCTTTGGAATTTAAGTTTAAAATCTTTATGAGACCCTTCCCCCTATAGGGGTGGCAGTAGCTGCGGAACCTACTGTGGGGCTCTGTCTCAGCTGCTGTCCGAAAGCAATAAACTGTTTGCTCAGCCTTTCTGCCTTCCGTCTTTCTTTCTTGCAGCCGGCACAGAAGTTGGGGCAAAACAGTTACCTTAGCAAATCTTCACCTCTCCATGCCTCTTTCCTTATCTGAAAAATGGAGATTTCTTACACAAATGCTATAAGGATTAAAAGAGTTAATAAAATGTTCGTCAAGAACCAAGCACATGGAAAGAACACTGCAAGTATTTATCACTGTTATTGCTGCTTCATTATTATCCCATCCAAGTGCATAGATCTATAATCACTAACTCTGACTTGTAATCAATAAATATTGCTACTCTGTTGACAATTCAACAAGTGGCTTTGAGAGTGAGGGCCCTCCTTGGTGGCACCATGGGTTATAAAGCACAGCACTGTGAAGCTATCCACAGTCACTGCAGCATGAGTTCGATCCTCAGTCAGGGAGGAGACCCACCTGGCCTGGCAGACCTCTCTTGTCTCACCCACTGTTCTTCTCAGCAGTGTATTTCAGTCAATTCTCCTGTTCTGTTCTCGACTCTATCTCTGGTGAATCTTCTCATCCTCTACACCTCTGTCCTGTACCCTAGTCCTTGTATGCATAAACAAATTTTTTAAAAAAAAAAAGACAAAAACAAAAGTAAAGTGAAATGTAAACGACCTCAACATGTCACTGCCAGTAAAGATACAAGAACTGCTGTAAGATCAAATTTTAGGGCCTTTCCCCTAAAGGTAAAATCAATCCCATTTTTAAACTTCCTATCATACAAAGTTATAACAACTTTACTTATTAATAGATAGTACCAAAAAAGTTTTACAATTCAGGCTGGACACAAGACTCTCAAACTCAAGTACAAGCACACTCCTACAAAGAAGAGTCCATATTATACTTCTATTATAATAGTTTGCCACTTTAAAGTAAAACTATACTGTATGTCAAAAAGACACTGTCTATGTTAAACAAAACACTGAAAAATTAAAATCATAAAGTCAAATATGCATTAAATGCAATTTTATAACTGTATGAGAAAATTATAGTAAATATTCCCAATTTCAAGCACTGTCTTCTAGCTCCAGTGTTCTGTTCATTCAAATCCAGGGTAACTAGTCATAAGTCAAAGTAAAGTTGTCATCATCTAAATCATTTCCTGTACTTTTTCTTTTTATTCATATTCATAATTCAGGGCCCTACACCAGAAGCATAAGTGAAATTCTGAATAGAGGCTAACTCAGGAAACTAACCATGAAATCAAATAATGCCAGTTCAATTCCCAATTAACCTGGGTATTGAACATGCTACTGATCTTCGGATTTAAGACCATGTTAGTACTGAAAATCAGGACTCAAGTACCAAGGGTTACATTTCAACCAGTGCTGAGCATTAGCATGTTTAACTGGCTAACTCTCAAATTAAAAGTTGTATTCCAGCATCAACCAGGGATACAGTCATAGAACAGTCATCAATAGGCCGCACAGGCCAGATCAGTCCACAAGCCACTTGGCAATTTTCACCAAACCAGATCCTCCTGAAGAAGAGAACAATGGGCTGGCAGTCAGGTTAGATTTCTTTAGCCACAGGTCCATTTTGAGACTGACTGACTTGGCTAGAAAAACCAACTTAGAAGAAAATGTAAAGAATTTCTGAAATAGGCCCTCCCTGGTGGCGCAGCGGGCGTTTTAACACAGCACTAAGAAGCTTAAGCCACTTCCACATGAGTTCGGTCCCTGCCTGCCCCGAGGAGATCCACATGGCACTGCAGACCTCTCCTGACCAGCCCGCTGCTCCCCTCAGCAGTGTACTTCGTCCATCTGCCTGTTTTACTCCCCAGTCTGTCTCTGGTGAATCCTCTCACCATCCCTGCACCTCTGGCCTGCACCCCAGTTCTGTATGCAATAAATAAATCAATCTTAAAATTTTTTTTAAATATAGATGGAAAATGCCTTAGCGTATACTTCACAGATCTCACTTTATTTATAAAAAATATTAATTGCAAATTGTTTTGTTCATAAAATCATTCCTGGGCCCTCCCTGGTGGCGCAGCGGGTTAAAGCACTGCACAAGGAAGCTTAAGCCACTTCCGCATGAGTTCGATTCCCGCCTGCCCCTGGGGGGGTCCACATGGCGTGGCAGACCTCTCCTGACCCGCCTGCTGCTCCCCTCAGCAGTGTACTTCGTCGATCTGCCTGTTCTGCACCCCACTCTGTCTCTAGTGAATCCTCTCACCCTCCGCATCTCTGGTCTGTACCCCAGTTCTGTATGAATAAATAAATAAATCTTTAAAAAAAAATAAATAACAGACTCTGCTTTAAAAAAAAAAATCATTCCTGGGTTTCTGAGAAAATGGTCCAGGGAGACAAGTAGCACTTTTTTCAGGATCTGCACAGATCTTAAAACACTAACTGAGCTAGTTTCTCTACCTACATAGAAAGTGGAATGATACCTGCTCCCTCGTTCAAAGGAAGTCCAAGTAAGTAAATAAATGCACTTTCAGCACTTCAAAAGGAATTTGCTACAGAAAACCACCATCCGTAGCATGATCTATGGAATTGCATTAAAAAGCAACGCTTTTTAACATCTAAAGCAAGGATCCAATTCAGTGCTGGAAGTCAAATTCATTAATGCCAGCTATTCCTACCCATCTGGGAAACTGACCAGGTCTATACTGACCCGCCTTCGAGTGAGCCACAACATAATGGAACTCCGCTGCGATGTCCCTCCAGCCGGCTCCCTACCTTTCTCAGAACTACCAGAGAGAAAAGCCACCCTTGCAAATCCCACAACGCCTCCCCACTGGCAAGCATTCCGACCAATTCTTAACTTTTCAGCCTTCTTTGACTTTACCCCTGCGAGGGTGCTGATCACTTTTAACGACACTCCTCCCCTCCAGAAGAGTCACTCTGCTCCCTCCGCTTTATTTATTTACACTTTGTCTCAGCCACAATCCAGAACTGCCCCAGCCTGCCGCCACCTGGGATGACCGAGACTTCATCAGCAGTGTGCCCGGCGGCCAGACCCCAAAAGGTCTCGACTCCTGCCCCACTTCCCAGATCCACCCGCCCCCCAAAGCCTTCCGCAACCCCCAAATTCCGAGCGCAGCATCTCCGGCTCCCCGTTGTCCTACGGGCTTAGGACCTGAACTCCACCTCGCCGCGTCCCTCGCCCCCTCGTCCCCTCGCTGTCCGGACCCACATCCCTCCTCAAGGCGGGAACTGGCCAAGCGCTCCGCCTGGACCGAGACTCCGGAGACTCTGGAGGCCGCGCGTCCCCCTCACCAGGCCCCACCTGGGCCTCCGGGCTCAGCTGTCCTCCACTGCCCCCCTGGCTCAGCCTCGCTTGCTCCCGAAGCGTAGGGCAGCGCCAGACCAGGCCCGGAACTTACTCGGGAAGATAAGTGGAGGAGAAGGAGCTCCACTTGTGTAGCGCGTAGGGCAGAAGCCGGCACTCGGGAGCCGCAGCGACAGCCCCGCCAGCCGCCATCTTGTCAGCACCGTAGCGGCCGCCACCGACTGCCAGCTGCGCTGGGTGGAGGGAGGGGCGTGGCCTGTTCTTAAAGGGGCCGCGGCCCGTCTCCGCTGTCCGTCTGCTCGGGGTGGCGCCGGGTGGCGCCGGTTCCGCTGAGCGCTGGGCAGAGGCGTGCGCAACGACGCTGTTCTCTGTCAGCGTTGGGGTCGCTGAACCTTCCTTCCTGACCCGCCGAAACTGCTACCTGGCCGGAGTTCTGAGGGGCTCTTCTGTGAGGCGTGGCGGGCAGTGGCGCCAAGAACTTTTCTTACGGGCGGAGGTAAGGGGAGAAGCCAAGAATATGAGGAAAAAAGCAAGAAACTGTAGTTATGGGCCAAGAAGAGAAAAGGAGAAGACGGAGCGGGAGAAGGGGACGGACACCTTCGCGATTTGGGAAGCCGCTGCCTTGTCCAGGTTGGCGCACCTTTCAGGAAGCAGCGAGAAGGGAACTGGAGCAGCTGGCTCGGGCCCTTTCCCTCGGGAGCGGCCTGGTTTGCAATGTCTCGTCAGGCCTTGCAGAGTCCGCAGCCGGGCAGGGAGCGGCTGGGGGGTCCCCTGTCCTTTTGCACCCCCACCCCACCACGGCACTGTGACTGAGGGCTGGGAGTCCTCTCCTGCTCTACCCGAGCGGTCTTGCTCAGAGATGTCATTCACCGTCTGACCAGAGAAATCCTTCAAGCCTTGGAGAGCCCGGTGTCATCTTTAAAATCTGCCCACTTTTAACAGAGACCGAAATTTAGACCCAGAAAAGTTCAAAAGGACAGGAGACGGGTGTCTCCAGGAAAAGGCCCAGGGAGGGATGGCCCTTGCATGCTAAATGTCACATGGGCCCCTAATCAGCTTCTTGTCCGTACAGGAACTGGCCACGCTATCTGCAGCTTTAGATTATGCTCCCGTGGAGGACCTGTGGTCAGGGCTGGTCATGGCTCCCGCTGCCATTGTCCTGGCGGGCATTGTCCGAGAGGGGCTGTTTCTGCAAGCCTGGACAGCCTCATCATCTCCACCTGATGGATGGAAAAACTCAAGCTAAGAGTTTCTCAGTGAATGACCAAGTGAGTCCACACACCTCAATAATTGCATTCTCTTGCTATCAACAGTGGTCACCCTGCCCAAACCTCACATCTTTCCCTGACTTCCTTTTAAACTTAGCAGTGGCCTCACTGGTATGTCAGCTCCAGAATGTGCAACTTAAGCATAGGTTAAACTTTAAAATGACATGCGTTTTATAGGGGCAGCAGGTTGGAAGAATATATCATTCCTTGAGGAAAGGCTATGACCCAGTTACTCTAGTTGGGGAATTTCTAGAGACTCTAGGGAAGGCCAAAGAAAAGAGATACCTTAAAGTTAAAAAATTAAGATGGCAACTCAGTTAATTCACATTGGGCCCCAATTTGCTTATGAGATCTCTTACCTTAAGTAAGTAGAGTCTTTATTCTTTCCCAATCATACAGTTAGTGGCTCCTAAGAGATCTTTTTTCAAAGGACAGATAAGCCACTTCTCCCTGCTATGTAAACCTTTCAGTGACTTTCTACATCCCTTTGGATAACATCTAAAGTCTTAGTCAAGGCCCTTCATGTTCTCCTAGGATTACCTCAGCAGCTTTCTCGCTTTCTCCCTTCTCCTTTGCACTCTTCTCCAGCCACACTACGCTAACATGCCGAATTGGCTCCTGTAATTCTGAGCTCTCTCTGGCCTCCATGGCTTAGTCTAACGCAAGCCAGGACTTCCCCCCTTCACCTGACTAACTCCTACTTGTTTTTTAGATTCTCTCATTCTGAAAAATCATTCCTCACCACCTGTTTTGGACTTAGGTGCCATTTTCTACATTTCCCTTGTCACCCTGAGTTTCCCTCCATAGAAAACATCACAATATATTTTAATCTATTCTTTATTTCCTGTTCTTTCTTCCTAAGCTATAACTCCCATGAAGATCAGGAGTCATTTGTATCTTGTCCACTGTTGTATTCTCAGTCCTGTTTGTATGTTTAACACAAATAAACACTGAATAAACATTTATTGGAAAATGAATTGTGCTAAAAGAGGATATGGGTTACAAAGGGAAAAAAAATTGCCAAAATTTCTCAGACAGCATTTATCCCTGAGGTGTGATTGCCAGGATGACACAAAGACCCAAGATAGTATTCCCTGCAGCACAGAGTCCACAAATGGTCAAATAATATAAAGCACTCACATGTTAACATAAATAAAGACAGAAATATTATACTAAACTCGAAATGTATGTAAAAGGTTAGGATGAAATAAAAGACTTAGGAAATTTCAAAACCTGCAGGAGCCTACCAGTAGCTCAGATTTCTTAGGGGTATACCTTTACTTCCATTTTGGCATTGGGGCATTACCTTAGATAATGGATATTATAGTAAGAATAAGAGGGCAGGACTGGAAACTGTCCATAGCCCTTTACTCCCTTTACTTCCCCCACACTTCAAAGGAACACATTGATGACCTCATGGAGAACTGAACCATGGATCATCATTTTTCAGGCATCAGTAGCTCTTGTAACATAATTACCTTGTCATCCCCTAAAGGCAATCATTGTTTACTTTCTGATGCCTTATCAGTATGCTTCTCATATTAAATATCTGCTAGAGAATAGCTGATTTATTTGGTTTGTCATCTTTTGCTATCTTTTCCAGCAAAAAATAGCATTTATTGATAGTCTATGATATGCCAGACCCTATCCTAGATGCTAGGGTAATAGAAAAATAGGGTCCTACTTGCACAGCATATACATTCCATTCAGACAAATTATAATACACTAAATGTAAATCAATAAAATAACTCCAGCTTATATTTTAGTGGCTAAGAAAGGACTATTTGGAGAAGGATAAAAGATAGCTACTCTAAGAAGGTAATATTTGAGTTAATCTAGGCAGAAAGAATAAGCCAGTGCAATAGACCTGAAGAAGGAAAGAGGTTGGCATGTTCCAAAAAGAAAAAGCATAACTGAAACACAGTAATGGAGGAAAGTGAAGTCATAACAAGTAGGACCCTAACTGTGATGGTAAGCAGCCATGGCACAGCAATATGAAGGAGAGAGCTGTGCAGGATTTAAGCCAAGGAGTAGCATTGAGTACTACCACGTTTTTTAAAAGATCAGAAAGTGGGCCCTCCCTGGTGGTGCAGTGGGTTAAAGCACAGCACTAAGAAGCTAAAGCCACTTTATCATGAGTTCGATCCGCGCCCCAGAGGTGAGCCACATGGCACAGCAGACCTCTCCTGGCCTGTCTGCTGCTCCCCTCAGCAGTGTACTGCATCAGTTGGCCTGTTCTGCTCCCGACTCTGTCTCTGGTGAAGCCTCTTACCGCTCTGGCCTGTACCCCACTTCTGTATGCACAAATAACTAAATCTTAAAAAAAAAAAATCAGAAAATGGGCTAGAGAAAAGCAAGAATTAAACTGAGGAGACCTGTCAGGAGATTCTGCAAAAAGTCAGGCAATAAGCAATGATGGCATGAGCTAGGAAAGAAGATGTCAACTCTAGAAAGAAAGACTCTACCACCTGTGGCAGCCTTCTACAAAAGGGGAATGTAGGGACATAAAAACAGGGCCTAGTGTCTGGAAGGAAACCTAGAATATATGTTGAAAATTTTAGTTTTAATACCAGTTTGACAAGTATTCCAGGTATGAGATCTTGGGAAATTCACTTAACTCACTCTCATTTTCCACCTCTAGAATAAATTAATTTAGTAAAATCTATGCATGTACTTCACAAGGACATACTGAGGATCAAGTGGAGGAAGGAAACAACTACTGTGTGCTAGCCTGTTGATTTCCAGGTAATAGGAGTTCTCATTTAATTTTCACAGAATATCAGAGAAATAGTTACCTTTCTCATGAATGAGGGAATTAAGACTCAGAAAGGTTAAATAAGTGTTTATAATCTCCAGTTTGCCCCTCCAGAAATGCAGGAGGAGAAAGCAAATGAGGTTGGGGTGTTTGTTCCCCTAACTCCTCACCTATAAGGTCACCTCCGTCTGGCAGCCCCTTTCAACCAAGGCCTCTCCACGGAGCTCTCTCTGGTGTCGGTTCCAGCAGCCCTTGCTTCCTGTGATTCCCCTGTGTTTTCTCACACCTTTATATATAGGCCTTTTGTTAGAGCTTCTCAAATTCCCCAATTTGAAAATGCTGTTTCTAGTTGGAACCCTTACTAAAACATTAACTTCTCAGAGGAGATACGTTAGTCAGCAATAGGGCTACACAGTCTGTGGTTCAAAAACCCATCCTGTTTGATTGCATCCCATTCTTCTCAGGTGAGAAGAGACTTCCTAAAATGCAAGGTGCAGCACTCTTCAACTCTAAGATTGTTTCCAAGTAACAAAGCCTAGTATTGTGAAAAGCAAAACAAGTAAAGCTAATTTTATTTATTTGCTGGAAAAGCAATACACCAGTTGGCTAAGGAGGGCAAAGTTGATTTTAATTGTTAGGAAGGGGTTTCATGGTTGTTAAGCTAATTAAAGGTTAAAACAAACTAAATAGACTGGAATAAATCTACAGTTCTATACCTGATTGATTAAAACAAACCTATAATCCACTGGTGAGGAGGGGGAAATAAACAACCTTCAGATAAATCCTGAACGGTCTTGCTTTAATTACCAGGGCCAGTCAAAGTCATGGTTCCTTTAACAGATATAGCCTGTTAGGAAAGATTAAGCACAACAGTTTTCCATATGCTATCTCCTAGACAAGATCTGCCAAAAGTAGAAGAATTTCCTTTGATAGTATGATGCAACAGGTAAAGAAATTAATACCTAAGTATGTAGGTGTCATATCTGAATCTAGAACAGAGTAGTCTAGTTCTCAGTCACTTTTGTCCTAATTTAATTAATAGGAACTTTTTTTAAAAAGATTTATTTATGCATACAGAAGTGGGGTACAGGCCAGAGGTGCAGGGGCAGTGAGAGGCTTCACCAGAGACATAGTGGGGAGCAGAACAGGCCAACTGACAAAGTACACTGCTGAGGGGAGCAGCAGGTGGGTCAGGAGAGGTCTGCTGTGCCATGTGGGTCACCTCCGGGACAGGCGGGGATCAAACTCATGCTGAAG